CTTTCATTTGGGAGGAACTACTTTGTCCTGGCATTTTGTCTAAAGTCTCTGTCTTCATCTCTGTGTTACAAAAACCCATTATGTTTCCTGCTCCTGAAAGTAATGACTTTATGAAGAAGAGGTCATATAGTGTCCAGGGCCTGGCACTTCCAGGAGTGTGTCCGGTGTGTGCTGTGAGCACTCTGCTGTTGTTTTGACTGCTCTATCCTTCAGGTCAGTCATCTGCAGAGGCTCTCCTTGCCTTCAGTGAGCAGTGTTTGGTCCTTAGCCAGAGTGTGGTGAGTTTTAACTAGTTTTCCTCTGGTGTGCTTGTTAAATGAGACCTGATGCTACTTCCAGTAGAACCAAATCCTTGCCAGACTTTCGGGTCAGGAGACATGGTGTGGTTGGGGGTTTCTGCTGGTCTTCTGGGGAATGGGCCCGCTGTGCTGGGACAGAGGTACACTTGACCAGCAGTACCAGTGGAGCACAAGGGAGTGGGACCCAGTGTAAGCAGGTTAGGCAGCCTGTGACAATGCTGTGCTGTTTACTGAAGGTGGTTCCATGTTTATGCTGAGAGGCAGGGGAGGGAAATGGCACCCACCAGCTGTTCTGTCCCCAGAGAGGCATCTCTGTGAATGCCACATCTCACAGACGTGCTCCAAGAAGAGAGAACAATCTCCCACTCATGTGTCCCAGGCATTCCTCAGATCATGCAGTCTGTCCGCTGAGTTATCTGCCTGCCTTCTCTCCAGGAGTAGGGCAGTGCCCTCAGGGCTCTAGTCCAGCCAAGCCCGCCAACCTTTAAAACTCTACTTTTTGAGCCCTGCAAGTTGCAAAAACTCACAAAAATCATCCCCTCTTGTTTTCCCAGTCAATAACTTCAGGGAAGTATTCTCCTTGTGCATATCCCTGTGTACTCCACTCTCTTGCTTTTCTCCTCAACCACGGCTCCCATCCCTCCACAACACCTGCAATCTGTTTCTTCCCTAAATCACATCTCTGCACTGCCTACCTTCCTTGATGTGGGCCCCCCCTCTTCTTCTAGTTGTGCAGTTTGTTCTGTCAGTCCTTGTGTTGATTTCTTGAGTATTCCAAATGATCTAATAGTTATCTGGTTGTGTTCGAGGGATGAGATGAACCTAGGGTCCTCCTACTATGGACTTCAGGCAGTTTTATTATAATGTGCCTCCGTATAAGTATCCTTGGGTTTTTCTTAGTTGAAATTGTTTGAGCTTCTTTAATTTGCATGTTCGTTTTTTTCCTCACCTCGAGAAATTTCTGGTTATTTTTTCTTGAGAAAAACTTTCTGACCCTTTCTCTCTCTCTCTTCTCCTTCCAGGTCTCCAATAATGCACATATCAGTCTGCTTATTGGTGCCACCCTTAGGCTATCTTTACTTTTCTTCATTTTTTTTCTTTTTGCTCTTTTCACTCAATAATTTCAATATCTTCAAGTTCACAGATTCTTCCTTCTGCTCTTATGAAGTCTGCTGTTAAACCTCTCTAGTGAATTTTTCAATTCGGTTATTGTATTTTTCAGTTTAAGAATTGCTATTTGGGTTCTTTCTTATAGTTTCTATCTTTTTATTGATATTCTCATTTTGTTTATGCATCATTTTCCTGATTTTGTTGGTTGTCTGTGTTCTCTTTTACCGTATTAAGCATCTTTAAGATAGTCATTTTGAATTCTTTGTCAGGTATAGCATTAATCTCTGGTTATTTAGGATCAATTTCTGGAGATTTATTTTGGTCTTTGGATTGGATCATGTTTCCCTATTTCTTTGTATACCTTGTGATCTTTGGTTGAGATCTGGGCATTTGAAAAACAGTCACCTCTCCCAGTCTTTATAGACTGCCTTCGTGTAAGGGAAGACGGTGACCAATCAGCCCAGTTGGAGATTCTGGGATCTCTCAAAATTTCTCTGGAGATATGTCTTCTTTGAGTTTGTGCATGTGATTGCCCATTTAAGAAGTCTAGTTCCAGGGTGCCCGGGTGGCTCAGTTGGTTGGGCATCCACCTTCAGCTCAGGTCATGATCTCAGGGTCCTGGGATGGAGCCCCGCATTGGGCTCCCTGCTCAGCGGGGGATCTGCTTCTCCCTCTGCTCCTCCTCTTGCTTGTGCTCATTCTCTCTCAAATAAATAAAATCTTAAAAAAAAAAATCTTGTTCCTATTTCTTTTCATGAGCCTGTAATCTCTCTTTCTTGCTGGTATTTTCCTGAGGTATTGCAGTCTCCATAGTACTGCGACATCTTGATGCTCGCCTTTCTTCTCAGTGGCTTCCAATCTGGGAAGCAACTATGTCATTAGTTCGCATCAGCACTTAGTCAAGTGAAACAGAATATTCCCTCAACAAGCCCTATAAAATCTTTAGACATATGTTCCAATCTTCTCTTTCCTTCCTGAAGGAAGGAGTAAGCATTGGGAGTTTTCTCCCAATTGCACCATGCTATGGGATGGGTGGGGTGGGTGGAGAAGAAGCTAGGGCAGGCAAAATGCAACAAACTTTCCTACGCACTTCAGTGTGTCTCTCTTGGCTTTGTATTAGCCTAGGTGCTGCAGCTTCTTAGTTTTCTGGAGGACTGACAGAAGCAATTTGATCTGTATATTGTTAAGTTGCTGTCTCTGTGGGGGACAAAGGGCTGGGGCTTCCTATTTTGCCATCTTATTGATGTCCCACCCTCTAGAGCTTTATTTTTAAGTATAATACAATGTGCTTTTTTTGGACTGAGAGCTAATTTTGCTCACTTTGCTGCAACTGAAAATTTACTTAACTTACTTAATTTACTTAAATTTCAATTGCAGATAAGTGATTGAATTGGGATATTGTCATTCAGCTTCACAATGACAATGAGAAATCATTATTTTGAGAAGATACATAAAGAAAAATCCAAGGGAACAGAGCTTTTATTTTATGTCTATGTTTGTTGCTGCGGTTGTTTTACAGTCCTACAAACTTGTGAGCACAGACTCAGACTTTCTAGACTCTTTTTTTTCTTTTTTTTAAAAGATTTTCATTCATTTATTTGAGAGAGAATGAGAGAGAGCACGAAAGGGAGGAGGGTCAGAGGGAGAAGCAGACTCCCCGCCGAGCAGGGAGCCCGATGCGGGACTCGATCCCGGGACTCCAGGATCATGACCCGAGCGGAAGGCAGTCGTCCAACCAACTGAGCCACCCAGGCGCCCTAGACTTTTTTTTTTTTTTAAGATTTATTTATTTGAGAGAGAGAGAGAGAACAAACATGAGCAGGAGGAGGGTAGAGAGACAAGGAGAGAGAGAATCTTAAGAAGACACCCCACAGAGAAGGGAGCCCGTTGTGGGGGCTCAATTCCACAGCCCCGAGATCATGACCTGAGCCAAAAATCAAAGTTGGACGTTTAACCGCCTGAGCCACCCACATGCCCCAGAATTCCTAGACTCTTAGCCAAGCTCTACCACTTTGTAGCTGAACATTCTTGAGCGGGTCATGTAATCTTTCTTGCCACAGCTTCCTCATCTGTAAAATGAGAATAGTAAAATACCTTTCTTATAGGGTTGAGGATTAAATTTTATGCTGGGGGAAGTTCCTGGCAGAGGATAAATGCTATGTAAGTACAGTTAGTTGACCCCTGAACAACGTGGAGTTTAGGGGTGCCAACCCTCTGCACAGTCAAAACCATTGACCAGAAGCCTTATTGATAACATAGAAAACCAATTAGCACATATTTTATATGTGTTATATATTATATTCTTACAATAAAGTAGTCTAGAGAAAAGAATGTTGTTAAGAAAAGCATAAGAAAGAGGAAATATATTTACAGTACTGTACTATATTTTTAAAATCCACATATAATTGGACTTTGGCAGTTCAAACCCATGTTATTCATGGGCCAATTATACTTTTTATTGTTATTGCTTTGATTCACATAGAAAAAATATAACCTGAAAAAGTGAATTTAAAAATTGCTTTTTAACTTGGGGAGAAGGAAATTGAGAATCTGTGAAAGCCACTATTGTTCTTTCCTCAGGAATTCTCTTATTTTTATTTTTCTTAAAGATTTTATTTATTTATTTGACAGAGAGAGATAGCGAGAGAGGGAACACAAGCAGGGGGAGTGGGAGAGGGAGAAGCAGACTTCCCGCTGAGCAGGGAGCCCGATGCGGGGCTCGATCCCAGGACCCCGGGATCATGACCTGAGCCGAAGGCAGACGCTTAATGACTGAGCCACCCAGGTGCCCTAGGGATTCTTTTATTTTTAAAGTGAACTCTATGCCCAACATGGGACTTGGACTCATGACCCCAAGATCAGGAGTCACATGCTCTACCCACTGAGCCAGCCAGATGCCCCTTTTCTCGTGAATTCTTAGTTTTTTATTTATATTAAAGAAAAGCATATAAGTATAAAGAATAGTGAGACAACTGGATATATCCAATTATACTTTATGTAAGCTAACTTGAAATTAATTTACTTTGCTTAGTGTAAGTTAGTGAAACGGATTCTCCAAGAATAATGTGTGGCAAGGAAGAAGAAGAATGGGTCATATGGTATGAAAAACTGGTTACAATTGGTAGATGTTAATATTGTTAACATTCGCTGGGCATTCTCTGAGTGTCAATCATTGTTCTATGTACTTGTGGTTAGTTTTTCAGGTGTGACAACACATTTAGGAGTAGATATTAGTATTATCTCTATTTTGCAGATGAAGGAACTGAGGCCCTATGTGTATAAACTCTTTGCCCAAGATCATACAACAAGTCACTGGCAGAACCAGAATAATCAATGCACGGATCATTGAGATTAACTTTTACATAGTTAACATAGTGAAGAAAACAAGAATGTCATTAATTAGGAAATAATCTGAATTTGAAGGGAATTTAAATGTAATCTAGCTGAGTCACTAAGATATTGGTGCCTATTTGATTTCAGATGACATTTTTCTTAAAGTTCAAGTACATAAATAACTGGATGCATAAAATTACTCCCTGACTACTTCAAAGGGGTTGTTTTTTACACAGTACGTGTCTTTTTATTTTTCAGGACTCAGTTAATATTGTCAAGATAACTAGCCATTTTTCTGCAAATTGAGGTAAATATTCCTACTTCTTAGAGAAATCTTTCCTTTTCTTTTAATTTGTATGTGCTCATTTATTTTTTTAAAAGCTGCTTATTTATTTATTTACTTATTTTATTTTTCTTTTTCAATTATTTATTTATTTATTTTAAAGTAAGATCTACACTCAACATGTGGCTGAAACTCATGACTCCGAGATCAAGAGTAGCATGCTCTCCCAACTGAGCCAGTCAGAAGCTCTGATAATCTTTCTTTTGAATTGATGTGTTACTAGTAATATGTCATTTGAATGATCTGTCCTTTTTAAAGAGTCCTTGTAATTGTTTCTGAACAATCCTAACTTCGTGTATGTATGGGTGTGTGTGTACGTGTGTGGTGTGTGTGTGTGTGTGTGTGACAGAGAGAGAGTGAGAAAGAGAGTCATTCTAAACTGAAGGCAATCCCACCATCCAGGGGATATTAGGCAATGTCTGGAGACATTTTTGACTGTCACAACTTGGTGTAGAGTGAGGTGCTACTGACATTCAGTGGGTTGAGGCCAAAGACACAGCTAAATATCCTACAGTGCACAGGACAGCCCCCCACAACAAAGAATGTTAATAGTATCAAGATTAGAAACCCTGATGGGTGTGTGTGTAGTATGTACGTATATCGATGTCATTCTAAAACATAGGGATAAGAAATTTTTAGATGATACTTTGTTTTCAAATGCAAATATTGAATCTTTGTTATTCAATTATAATTGTTTACAAACACACGGACACTTGAAAAGATTCTATAAATATGTACTGAGCACCTGGCAAGGTACCATGGTAGATACTGGAGGTGGACATCATTCCTGCCATCATGGAACGGAGTATATCCTCCCCGACATCTGAACACTGATGTTTTTATCTGCCTAGATTACACTATTTCGAAGACTGATCTTTTTTCCCAAAAAGAGGGAAGAAAATTGGCTGTAGACTGCCTCAAGATACAAATGTAAAATTGAATTAAATCAATTAAACTGCTCATTGTTGGTTTGAGTAGGTTGCCGGAAAGTGTTGGAAATGTCAAGCCACTGCTTTTTCTTTTTTCCTTTGCGTAGTAAAGTTTCACAAATGTCATTGCTGTTACTAAAAGCAGCTGTCTCTTAGGACATAGTGGGACATTACATTTGGAATTTTTAAAATGGTCTCTTCTAGTCCTACTTTTTTATTTAGTGACACTGTTATCGCTACTCATAATATGGCAGAGTTAGCCTTATGCTATGAATGAAATGAGTCCAGGAACTTAAAAACACTCAAAATATCTATTGCCATCATGCCTGAAACTCCAGCACTTGAGAGGAATACCTTTATGTTAGGCATCATGCCTTTAAGAGTTTTTTTATTAAAATGCAATTACTCCAGAAAGAAAGAGCAGGAGAGAGAATGTAACAAGAAGTAATGTTTGTAAAAGGTTTTATTTTAAAGTTTACTGCTTTGGGGAATTAAAAAAGATATTCACAGGGGCCTGGGTGGCTCAGTTGGTTAAGCGACTGCCTTCGGCTCAGGTCATGATCCTGGAGTCCTGGGATCGAGTCCTGCGTCGGGCTCCCTGCTCAGCGGGGAGTCTGCTTCTCCCTCTGACCCTCTTCCCTCTTGTGCTATCTCTCATTCTCTCTCTCTCAAATAAATAAATAAATAAATAAATAAATAAATAAAAATAAAATCTTTAAAAAAAAGATACTCATTGACTTGAAAAGATATGGGGGGACAGAAAGCAGATTACCATTTATGAAGTAGTAGCTACAATATAAGATATATAATATATATATGTGTGTACCGTGTGTATAATATGTGATATATAGTACATCCTGACTGGCATGATTATAGGTGATATTTATTATTTATTTGCTCATACACAAATATTTTGTTTCGTTTACAGATACTACTGGCCCTATTTGTCAGTTTTTTATAAAGTTAACATTTCAGGTCAAAAAAAGAAAGCACCGAGGCATCCCATAGGTTTAGGCTCAGAATGCTCCAGAGATCTGGGGTGAAGTGGGGAGAGATGTCACCTTTTAACAAAAGAACACATGTGGCCCAGGAAGGGCCTACCACAGAATCTGAGAGATCCAACTCTTGACAAATCTAATGTACAGTTTTACATATATTTGCACTGAGCAGGCCATGGAACTTTTTTTTTTTTTAAAGATTTTATTTGTTTATTTGACAGAGAGAGACACAGCGAGAGAGGGAACACAAGCAGGGGGAGCGGAAGAGGGAGAAGCAGGCTTCCCGCTGAGCAGGGAGCCCGATGCGGGGCTCGATCCCAGGACCCCGGGATCATGACCTGAGCCGAAGGCAGACGCTTAACGACTGAGCCACCCAGGCGCCCCAGGCCATGGAACTTAACAAAGGATATAACGCACAGCTAGAGATTGTGGTGTGACTCTGTTTGGAGTTTGGAGTCAGAGAAGGCTTTCACTACATGAGAAGCCAATCACGAGACTGTATGTTTGGCAGCCTGTGGTTGCACTCTGCTCAGCATGAGCTGTAAATACACAAACCCTTTTTCAAAATCTATGACATACTGAAAAGATTTCATGCTCAATATATGCAACCAAACCAAATGCACAGACATGTGCCAAACAATCCCCAGCCCTCCTCAAAGAAAGGCTACAAATAGACACACTTCTCACTAAACCGCTTTTGTTGAGAAGCATCAGAACTTCAGAATATAGCTATGTTTAAATTATAGCCCACTTTTCAGGTAACAGCTTATAAATTCTCTGAAATAGTGAAGGTTGTTCTCTGTTTTGGTGCAATTGTATACAATGTTTTATTTATTTTGCCAAGCATATGTTGAGCACCTGCTATGTTTCAGCTATGCTAAGTTAAAAGATACAAAGGTGAGTAAGTTATGATCTGTGGACACAGGACTTAGAGTTTTGTGAGGGGAACCAACCTGTAGGAGATGCTTATGATGCACGAAAGAGCCCAGGGTTCTGAAAAACTGCTAATAGTTCTAAAAGATTGAATTGGATTTCCACTTCTGACCAAGATGGATTGAGAAGGAACTGGATTTACCTTCCTGGCACCTGAAACAACTTTAAAAACAGGAAGAATATAGAAAACAACTGTTCTCAGGCACTGCATATCAGGCAACAGAGGACAGTGATCCCTGAGATTGGGAAAATAAATGAGGTGAGCCCTGTGATTGTCCTAGCTTACTGCCTGGGACAGTTTCCGGTGTGCGATGAAGAGAGTGGGAATCTGGGGCACCTGGGTGGCTCAGTTGTTAAGCATCTGCCTTCTGCTCAGGTCATGATCCCAGGGTCCTGGGATCGAGTCCCGCATCGGGCTCCCTGCTCAGCGGGAAGCCTGCTTCTCCCTCTCCCACTCCCCCTGCTTGTGTTCCCTCTCTCGCTGTGTCTCTCTCTGTCAAATAAATAAATAAAATCTTTAAAAAGAGAGAGAGAGAGAGATCATGAGAGAGTGGGAATCTGTGTGGGCTGTGGGTGTCCAGGGAGGCTCTGGCATCTTGATTTCTCAGGCAGAGTAGCAGGGAGAGGAGTGTTGCACAGGGAGAAAGCTGTGAAGACCTACAGAAGGCCCCCAAGAGTCTTCAGCTGAGTACTGATCAGCACCTGAGTATGGAGAAACTACTTAAGTCCCTATCGGAGCAGAGGGAATAACCCTTGAATGAAAAACCTTGTAATTTACAGGGCATTAGGGAGAGTATTCAAAAGAGCATTGCCTCAAGTAGTGTGGCAAAATTAGCACTGAAATAAAGGCTGCTCATCCTGCCTAACAAAGCCTGAAAGAAGCTTTGAAAACATCAAACTATTTACAAGTGATTTAACCGCTTCCCAGAATAAAGCTCAAGGAAATATTTATAGAGATAAAAAAAATTGCACCTAGGAAGGTAAAAATCACAATGTCTGGCATCCAGTGAAAAAGTACCAGGCATGCAAACAAGCAGGAAAATGCAATGAATAATGAGGGAAAGAAATCAATCAATAGAAACAAACCTAGAAATGATGCAGATATCAAAATATAAAGATAGAATTAGTAAACAAAGACATTAAAGCAGTTATTATAACTTTATTCCATAAGTACAAGAATCTAAAGGAAAGATTGAGCATGTTAAGTAGAGAAATGGAAGGTATTAAGAAAAAACTGAACTTTTAGACATGAAAAGTACATCTATGGTGAAAAATATACTGGATGGGATTGATAGCAGATTAAACACAACAGAAGAAAAGAGTAGTTAAGTTGAATACATAACAATAGAAACTATCTAAAATGAAGCAATCAGAGAAAAAGTGCTGAAAACAAAATGACCAGAGCATCAGTGAGCTATGGGACAACTTCAAGCTGCATACATTATAACCCTGTACCTGAGGCCAAAGTTGATTGATTTATGGGTGGACACCTTGACCAAGGACTTTCTTCCTTGGAATTTTGAATTTAGAACCCAAAGAGAATCAAGCCAGTCTCATTCAGTGTGACTGAAATAAGAACATGGAAATCTTCATTGTTTCTCACCAGGTAGACTGAGAAGCAGAAGTTAGTCTGTAACAAGGGAAAAAAGATACATACAGAGGAAAGTAGAGATATAATCTGGAGAGAGAAATCAAGTTTTCCAGGTCCTAGGTCCAGTTTTTTTTTTATTAAAGATTTTATTTATTTGACAGAGAAAGACATAGCAAGAGAGGGAACACAAGCAGGGGGCATGGGACAGGGAGAAGCAGGCTTCCTGCAGAGCGGGGAGCCCAATGCGGGGCTCGATCCCAGGACCCTGGGATCATGACCTGAGCCAAAGGCAGACGCTTAATGACTGAGCCACCCAGGCACTCTGGTCCAGTTGTTTCTCAGCTGAGTTGTATCCCTATCTGTTCAGCTGTTTCTTAGATTCCATGAGATGTTTTGCCACATATAATGAAAGAAGGTCTTAAATTATATAGAGATGATGCATTTGATTTTGGACGTGTTAAAATGTTATTTGATTTGTGGATGCATGTTTGGAGTGTCTATGGAATACTGATGTGGAAATATCAACTAGGTAGGTGAATAGACTTTTCTGAAGCTCAGAATAGAAGCATGTGCCCCAAATTTATATTTTGATTCTACAGAATAAATAGAGCACCTAAATCTATAAGAGTTTACCTAAATCCATGGGATTATATGAACTCGAGAATGGAAAATATATAGAGGGAGATACAAAACCAGTGATGGAACCTGGAAAACAAGCATATTAAAAAGACAAAAAGAGCATCCAGGGAAAGACTCTGAGAAAGAATGTTTACCCAATTAGGGTGAGAGCTTGATGTTGAGAAAATCAAAGGAAGGGAGAATCTAAAGAAAAGAGAAATCAGTAACATTGTCAATTT